GTGGTGTAATGGCCGTAGATACACATACCTTCCTTTACTAAACGTACTTGTTGGGTCACTTTCCACTGAGGTGCTTTTTTTCCAGGAACATATGACATCGAAGCAGGTAAACTGGATCAACAAGTCTCAGATCACAGACATTTCTTCAAGTTTTTCAAGTCTGTTTCAACAGTTAGGAGTACAGGTGTGTGTGTGTGTGTGTGTGTGTGTGTGTGTGTGTGTGCAGGTATGCAGAAGTGAACTGATTTAATCCACACAGCACCGGGAAATCAAGACCACAAAAAGAAATCAGGATGAACCAGTGAGGCGGATAATGGCAACATGATCAGATAGAAAAATATTGTATTATCTTAAATAAATTAAAATGTAAAATTTTATATACATATTTTAAATATGTTGTGTTTTTAATAAGCACACACGCTTCTTCATAGAACAAACAAAACAAACTGCACCTTCACACATCGACCAAAACCGAAGAAGACCAGCATCAAAGAAACGTATCTAATCTATTGCAGTACTTTAGTGCATTAGTTTTATCTTTGTTACCATGCCAACCTAAATACACATACATCTAATTATGAATGTTTATTTGTTTCAGTTTTTGATAAGGACAGAAATATTGTAGAGCACTGTTTTGAGGTAATTTTTTACACAAATGGCCCGTCTACATTTTGATGATTGACAGGTCTGTTGTTTACCTTGGTTAGCCTCTGGGATTAGCATGTTAGCAAGCTTTACCATTCTGCTGATTAAAGCTGAAGGGGATGGGGATGTCTTAATGTCTGCTGGCATTTCTTCATAAACCAAATTATCGCGCCAAAAACCACCGAGCCAAGCTTCATTTAATGTCGTCGATTACAACATCCTGGTCCTCTGATCAAACAGAGATTGAGAAATCTCTTGGTATCAGAACGGTAATGGATCAACAACTCTTGGGTGTTAGCTCGGTATCAGGTTGTATGCTGCCTTTCAAGCATTCACGATTGGCATCCAACTAATCAATGTCATCTATCATACAGAGAGGTTTGCCAATTTACTGCTGATCTGTCATGTTTTTGACAAAAAAGAATGGACCTGACGATGGCGCTAGATAAAATGTCTAAGCATCCCAAAAGTTGTATTGTCGTTTCTCAAGGAGGAAATGAATGTCTCCAGTTTCTTGACAATCCATCAAGTTGTTGTTGAGAAATTTAGAAGAAGCAAACAAACACATTTGTACCTGGTTCTTCTGTTGCTTGAAGAGAAAAAATGTAGGGTTACCAAAGTCACAAGGATGCATCCTCTGGTGCACTATTCATTATATAGTTAGGACATTGATGTAGGAACAGACTGGTGGAGCAACAAAAATTGCAATTTTAGAACTGAAATGAGAGGTTTATCAAGCGTGTTCAGAGGGCTGGCACGGGCCCCCCTAGCAATGTGATTGGACAGCCTGGGTGCCATCCGAAAAAGTCCTAAATTGTGATTGGCTCTTTGCCCTGTCAGAGGCGGGACTTATGTCTTGGGGGATTTTTCTTTTTTAAATATCAAAGTAGCACATTTTCATTTTTCTAAAAACTTTGGCCATGTATTTCATAAGACAGGTTAATGAGAAAGTAATTCACACGCAGCTGCATGCATCTCTTTCAGTACTTTAAAATGTGACTTTGAACATACATCTTGTGTGTTTAAAAAGTTAAGCTAATATTGCAATTGTCCCGTGGTATAAAGCAGGCTAGATATTATTGGTGGGGTAAGAAAGGGTTAATGATTTAGATTTATTTGTGTGTGTTTGCGCGCACATCACACTTCAGGCCACCCCTGCATAAGTCAGTGCCCCAGTTGGGTCACCCCAGTCCAAAAAGTCTGGATACGCCCCTGTGTATTCACCTATTAAAGGTTATAGTTTACAAAACACTTTCCCTTAAAAAAATTATTTAAAAAATCTGAACAATGTCACAACTGTCAATTTGGAGAAAGGGGGAGAAAAATCACAGTTCATATATCAATCATCAGAAACACACCTCTTCTTTAATTAATGTGCAGAGCATCAGGGAGGCAGCCATTGTTGATAATAAGGCCATTGTGACATTAATTATACCCTGATAACATAATACCCAAGGCGCTTATTTAATCAGTGACTGTCTGTTCTCAAACTGGCTTTACAGGAAAGTGACTCTGGTTATATATGCAGTGGCCTGATTGTTGCCCTGGATTCATGTTAGCAGCTTGCTTGCATTCATGGTTTCATGGAACTTCATGCAAATACTGTGTGTCGTTAGAAGTCGCTGTGTCTAACACATGTGCATGCACAAAGACAGCAAACATGGCGGAAAATTACAACGGAGGATTAGGGCCAGAGAATAATCTCATAAATTAATGAGTTCGAGCCTGCGCAAAATGATGAAAGTAGAACTCTTAGTATTAAGTATTTTCCTCTGCAGACAACTTCCTCCAAGTCAGTGTGGTTCTTTCTTAGGAAAAAGCCAGTTTCTTGCAGTATCTTTTCAGGGTGCTGATATTTTAAAGACAATGTTAAGATGATGTGCCAAAAGCATGTTTAGTTTCATATCTGCATAAGTAAAGCCCCAACACAACTATTTGTGTCTGTTATCGGTCTGCCTTGTTAATGTGTCTCATGTGCAGAGCCAGTTTGTGTCCTGTTCATATCATTTTACAGATAAACAAGTTCTTGAAAGGTGAAGTGAAAACTTCTCTTGAACTGTTTTTACCGACTACACAAGGAAGAAGCCTATTTCCTTATTAGTGAAACCTTTAGGACAAGATGCTCATTGTTTGTCATTTGAGAACAGGATGCTGCAGCTCTTCTGATATAGACTAAAATAACAACTTTATTCTTTTATTCTTAAAAGACTTTAAGAGTTCTACTTTCATAATTTTCAAGCAGGCTGGTCTCGAACTCGTAAATTTACGACTCTAATCTTGAATTTTTTTTTTTTTAACGTGGCCCTGATCCTCCGTCGTAGAAAATGAGATGAAAAGGTGACTGATTATAAAGATGTAACTAAAGGCCTGTTCATACGTCAAGCAGCTATGAGGAGATGTTTTTACATCGTAGTACAGTTTACAGTATATCTTTGCCAATCCCGTTCTGAACATAAAAGCAGTATAACCGTAGAAACCCCGATCCTACTTCCTCTTAAATATGTAATCCATTATTCTTCAAGATTTTACTGGCAAAGTTTTATGATCTTTAGTTCTGCCTGCCGTGACTTACTTTGTTGGAATCTGACGAGCTGGCAGCTGGTTGTCTGGTTTGTTTTGAAGGCAAATACATTAGAAGCAAAAGTCATTAAGAGCTGTAAAAAAAAGAAATGGTTCGGTGCATCTTTAAACTTAGTGTCAGCAAGCTTGAACCGTTTCCAAGTTTGAACAAAGGGAACTGTCAAACAAATAGTTCATCAACATGTAAATGTCTCAGGCCAGCCGCTCACTGACAAGACAGAAACTATGCTAGAATCACAAATGAGGTCATGCTTAGATGATTATTTAAGGCTCAACACCTAATCGACCCAATTTATTATTTTTTAGGATTATGAAGGCTTAAACTCAATCCATCACTGGTAGAGCAAACATCCTTAACAAACTACACTGAGGTGAACTCGAACCTGTCTGATGATGTTTGCAGGATGAGGATTTAAGTTTGAATTTTAAAAAAAAACAGACATTGTTTTTGTTTTATCAACACTTTCATTTGAAACGGACATCAACACAAACTCATGAATGATAAATACATTATTAATAATAATAATAATAATAATAAGACTTCTGTCCCAACAGAAATGTTTAGACACAGATGTGAGGCCTCATTTACAAAAAAAGCATCCTCATAATGATTTGGTCTCCCACGACAAAGAGAAAAATATTTAGAACTGGAGGGCTGAAGTCAAAAACCAGATATACTGAGAACAATCGTTGGCATCTCAACTGAGATCTATGACTCGACTGTTTGGATTTTGGCACGAGTGCAAATAGTTTTGCGTCTTAAGTTCCCGTAAAATGCACAATGATTTTCAGTTTTGCTTCCTGTACATTGTAAAGCTCCAACTTGAGCTCCGCTTTCGAAGCTGTGCAAAAACACAGATACATTTCAATAAAAAGATCCTTGTCTGGAACAGGCTACCTTCGGAGTGGGAATAGGATTCCTGACTCGGGAATCCTATTCCCCATTCCCCATACCCACCCATACTGGGTGGGTATGGGGTTAACTGGGTTGGGCGGGAGAAGGCAGGAATGGGGTTTACAAAAGATAACCACAGTACAATGTCAACTCTTATCATCTGTGCAAACGAATAAAACGATTTTGGAAGAAAAATAAAAGATCCTTGTCTGTGAATATCAGCATTTAGCCTGGAGTTATCTTTTTTTCTATGCTCTTTATCTGTAAAAAAAAAAAAGAGGTCGGATTTGAACCCATGACCGCTGCGACGAGGACTAGCCTCTGTACATTGGGCACGCAACAAAAACCCTAGGACTATCCGGCGCCATGGAGCCATTATTTATCGATGACAAGAGAGCGCCACAGGAATGAGTCCCAAAACCTGGAAGGAAGTTAGCATTTGAGCGCCATGGGGTCTAACGTCTAAAAGTCAAATGGGGATTTTGAATGGGTTTGTGGTTAAACGCCTGAAATAAGGTCTGTGGTTAACACAAGCTTAAGAGATGTTGGCGTTTTGTTAGACCACATAATGAATTTTTAAGGATGGCCACTGCGTTTGAGGCTTGATCATCCTTCTCTGTGCAGAGCGTTCAGTCCTGCAGTTAGAAAACAACAATGACTTATCTGTGCGCTACTGAAACAGAACAGGGACTGGTTTTACAGGAAGTAAGATGATAAAAGATAACTTTAAGAATGAGTCAGCAACTTTTTCAAGAGGTTGATTTATCATAACTCCTAAAGACCTTGAACAAAAATGGTTCAACAGCGCCAACCACTACCAAAAATCTTAGAAAGGATTCTTAACAACTTTGTGGAGTCACTGTGACTTCAACGACAGATCCAGAGCTTCATGTGAATTTATTGGATATTCAGAAGAATAGAACATGGGTAAACTCTCTCTTACAGTCAAGATTAAAGATAAAGAAAATAACTTTGATTTCACAGATTCCTTCCATGACCAGCGTATTGTTTCCATGTTTTTTGGCATCATTGCTACCATGGTATCTCACGGCTGCAGCGGAAGCTACACATGTACAAAAGACGTCTGACAGTGACTGAACAGTAGCCGTCAAACAGGTTTTAAAATCCCCAGGTTAGAGAAGATCGGTCTAAATGAATAAGCAGTTTGTGAAGTACAGCAGGTCAGAGTTTGAACATGATGCAGATCTGACATCCACAGCTACAGTTTGAGAAATGAAAAATATAAAAACTAACATTCTCCTCTTTTTTTTATGTGAATTTGAAACAACATAGAAATGAAACATGAAGAAACCTAACAACAACACTTTGGCTCTTGTTGCCAAGATAATCAGCTGAATCCTATCTAGAACACATTGTGTTGTTAGATGAACCCACTCTGATGACAGACGCCTTTTGTTGTGAGCAGCCCGACACGTTATGTTATGATCTTTATTTTCAATCAGCATCTTTATGAGTCACATCTGCTGGGTAGATGGGTAAGTGATCACAACCAGGGAATGTCAACAAATAGAACAATGAAATGATAAAGAATTAACTGTTTTGTGTAAAGAATGAACTGTTTTGTGTAAAGAATGAACTGTTTTGTGTAAAGAATGAACTGTTTTGTGTAAAGAATTAACTGTTTTGTGTAAAGAATTAACTGTTTTGTGTAAAGAATGAACTGTTTTGTGTAAAGAATTAACTGTTTTGTGTACAGAGCACTGTGTCCTATCAGCACCGATCATTGAATGTCGCGTCACATGCTGGCTATCCACACGTCATCTGTTTAATAATTCTTTACTCTGTGAACTTCAGTGTCCCCTGGCAAACAATATGACATCTTGTGCTTTTGTATTGAAGGTGGTGCTTTGTATTGAGGAGTAGTTGATTGAAATCACAACACACTGAGGCAGAAAAGGTTTTTCTCCGGTGTTGTTGACACGAGTCAGAGCTCAATATGTGGATATTATTAATGCACGACTGTCTCTCCACTTTTTAAAACAAGCTAACAAGCTCTGTTGAGTGAGAAAAGCGAGTGTCAGTGACGTGTAGAGCCCCCTCCTTCCTCGTTCCTCCTCCTTCTACGCGAGTGACAAAGAGGAAAATAGAAACAGGGTAAAAAACGGTGCCATATATTAAGATGATTTTGCCGCTGAAGCTCTCTTGCGTCGCATGATGTTAGGACAGGCTTTAATCTTTGATCCTTTATGAAAACTGAAAATAGAAACAAAAGTGTTTTTGTTGGATCATCAGAGTTGATGGTTTTCATCATTTACATCTCCAGATGTTCAGAATGGTTTTTAATTAATTGACACAAAGATAAATACTTTCTCTTGGTCCTTAGGTCAATTCACCTCACTCTGGTGGAAAAGAATCTAGAAGTCCTGCATGAGACGTTGAAGAAGCAGAGTGGAATTTTCTGACACAACTTCATCAAATATCAACGTGCATGGAGAGGTCAAAACGCTCCAGCAGCACTTGATTCACCCAGATGAAGGCCACAAGCCGAAACGCGTCGGATCGTCATACAAATGTTGCTGGAGCGTTTTGACCCCTGCATGAGAAACGTTGTAATAACCGGTTTAGCTTCTTGTTGGAAATGTTCCTGTGAGTATTAAGTTTCTGAGCAGGTTTGACAAGCATTCTGACAGAACGAGAAAAGTATACAGTCTGATCTGAAAAAGATTTCTCCTTCAGATGAAACGTGACCCTGACATTGGTTTTGTAACTGAGGCCCCACGTAAGTGAAAAACCTTGAGAAATGAGTGATGTGAACGAGAGAAAGCAGAAAACAGGGATAGCCACATTTTTGTACACGAGGGATAGAATAAGGAAGTTGACAGAAGGTGTGAAAGGTTCAGGCAGGGTCCGGTTTGAAGGAGGGGGGTTAATTACACTGGTCTTTGTACTGAGATGGGACTGTTTGTCCTCGACACGCTCTTCAGTAAGGACGGCCTCGCCGCTCCTGTCTGCGGTCACCCCTGGAGAAAAAAACAAAAAACATGCGAGGAGTTGACACAAATGATATGCTGATGCACAGACATAAAGGGACCTTTCTGAGAGGCTGTGAAGAAGTGTTCATTTACGTCATCAGTTACAATGTAACCATGTCTCTGCCGGGGAGCAGTTTGTACTCTGATCAAGAAGAACTTCAAGGTTACACACACACTCTGTCCCTTCAAATGTCCTCTTTGTCAAGTCAAATTGTCCATGGTGCCAACTTACAGGTCCAAGTATTTTAAAGGTGTTTAAAAAAGAAAAGAAAAAAAAGTTGCTGCAGGGCCTCTAGAGCAGCACACGTTACCCTGAGGTTAAAGGTTTAACTCTTTCTGTTCAGGCACATGCTGCAGCGTGTGTCAGATTAGATATCCGCGTGTCAAGTCATAAAGTTTCAGGAAGCAGGCGGCACAGACGACAGTGTTTGAAGGGGAAACATGGGACACATGCTCTGCATTTCACTGGAAACACGACGGATAGTTTGTCATCTTCTGTCGGTAGGGTTTTTGTCAAGCTTTAAGGATCTGACCACAGAAACGTGGCAGGATGAAGTGGCAGGATCAGGAATTGTTCATTTTCCTTTGAAATGCTTTAATACTGCTGCAAAAAATGCTATTTAAATTCTGGTGTCACTATTCAATTTGGCTTTAAAATGACTGAAACTCTGGTAGAAACCCACTTATATTGTGTAGTGCAGGCTTCATGTATAAGCTTTAAAGAACTGTGGATTTTATCTCCTAAAGTTGGATCCTGTTAAGAACACATTTATTAACCATTTAGAACGACCACAAGCTGTTTCAGTGTGTGAGTTAGCAAATGTAGCTAACTTGGAATCTCAAAAGTCAAGCTTTTAGCCTTCATCCTTTTAGCCAATGAGAACTGTCTGATGGTGCGATTCTCACCTTGCGTCCGTCTTTCCCGGGCTGTATCCTCCTCCCCGGTCACCACCTCGGCCCCCTCTGAAGCCCCCACGGTCCCCTCCTCGGCCCCTGAATCCTCCGCGCTCAAATCCACCCCGGCGCTCTCCTCCGAAACCGCCTTAAAGCAGAACAAGAGATTTGATGACAATTTGTAAACAGCTGACAGAACGCGTGTGCTTTTATTACTTTCTGACCCCAGGGTGAGAAAACAAACCGCACAAAAGGTTTCTTTACTGCTGCAGTCAGGTACGGCTTTGTTCAACCGCACAGTGCTCACTGATGACTCACGGTAATTAAAGCTTTCTCTTTTGTATGATTAGGCGTTTCATACAATGGACTCAATTAAAAAGAACACAGACAGCATGAAGTGTTTATTCAAAGGCTATTCTCTGTTAATACCAATCATTAATGAATGAGAAAGTTCTGTAAACAGCTGAAGGAGGGACCGTTTCTCCAGTAGAAAGTACTGAAGAACAAAAGAGACTTTTAAAACCTGGACAAATTTATCCAATTAAAATAATTACTCTTTAAAGGAGCAATATGTAACTATGTAAGCTTTTAAAACATGTGCTGAAGTTCAACTTCAAGCAGGCATACTGGCTGCTGTGATGTTGTCAGAGAAGCCAGCACTTCAGCATAAAATGTTTCCTTAATGTCTGATGATAAATTGAGTTCATACATCTTGCTCCTTTAAGATAATATCTTTATTATTACTAACTAAAAATGGAAGACTTTGAAATAGCATACAGGAGTCACCTCTCTCCATCGGGGACATCCCACATTCATCCTCAGGTTTAGGGTCTTTGCACTGGTTGCACTCGTTACGCCACGAGAAGTTCAGGTTGCCACAGTTGCTGAGGAGACATTTGTAGAAGGAACAAAGGTAAAAAAAAAAAAAAACACTTAAGAGAAATTAGTTTTATACTTTGTGTGAATAGCCAACTAGTCTGAATTGAAATCTGCCTTTAATCATCTTTGAATGAAGTTGCTAGAAACATCCCTATTTTTTGCTTCATAAATACATACATATCATTTTACAGCTTCATCTTTATCTATATAAACATATATTTATCCAGGATATGCTCACAGTATTTCATATGGAGATTGTTTCAGTGTGACCACTGCACGAACATTTAATCAAAGATATATAGTCTAGTATAATCGAGGCTGTGCAGCTTCTATACACTCTATCTCTTTGCCCATCCATCTACAATCGATAAGTTGGATCCCCGATTCCTAACTTACGGGTTTGAACACTTCCAGTCCCCAGCTCTCTGCTGTCCTCCCCCACCTCCACCTCCACCTCCTCTTTCTCCAACTCCTCCTCCTCCTCCGCCGCCACCCCCATTGCCTCCTGGGAAACCTCCACCTCCACCTCGACCTCCACCAAATCCACCACGGCCCATTGGAGCTGTGTCACAAAGTCAAAGGAAAACCACTCAGACCTTCAGTTTAACACTTGACAGGTGATGCCGTTTTAGGAATAACATCGGAAGTGTTCGAGTCCATGCAGGTGTTCAGGTTATATAAATTACATGAGATCTTTTGCTTTTTTATCTGCTCAGCTATCAGCTGTTTTAAAAAAATGTGCGCGTGATTATAAGACGGTAAACAGGATGATGATATGGTCATCAGTGGTTAGAACTTTCTCATCTGCTTTTACTCTCAACCTGAACTGAAAACAACTTAAAAAACAACACAAACAAACAGATTTACTACCTCTTCCTCGACTGCCCCTCATGCCACCTCGGCCTCCAAAGTCAGCTCTGCGGGTGGCAAAAGATACCTTGATCGGATTTCCATTGAAGTCCTTACCTGTTGAACAAAGACATCTCAGGTTATACTGGCCCGGTATGGTAGGTATGTTATTATAAGAGTTAGGTGTAAATAATTGACGAATGAGAACAACCGACCATCAAACCAGTCGATCGCAGCTTTAGCTGAGGGCGGATCATCGAATGAAACCGTGGCTTCCCCCTTCAGCTTCCCGCTGTCTCTGTCTGTGTACAGGTTTATCATGGGCAGGCCTGTCTTCTTGTTGATCTAAAAGGATGGACCGAAGGAGATGGCAAAAACAATTATATAAAATAAAAAAACAAAACATCAATGAATATTTATAACATGAGCAGTGAGAGCTACCTTAATGATCCCAATCTGTTTAAAGAAGTCGGCCACTGATTCCACAGTGTAGTCGTCTCCCAGGCCTTGCACAAAGATGGTGTTGTTATCAGAGTTATCCTGGTCTTGCACTATTGGAAGACGAATCAAAGAGATGTAAATAAAGCAGCTGAAATACAATCATCCTATTGGGTTGTTTTTGAAAACATGCAAGTTCACAATCAGCTTTAAACATACAGCTGACAGTCGTCCCATTGGAGCGTTCATCTGATGAATACACTCACACACTTTGGCAAAGAATTTGTAATTTTATAGAAGAGATAAAGAAAACTCTATCCATGAGAAGAGGTTAATTCCCCTTCATTTCAATCTAACATGGGTCATCCATTGGAGGGTAAAGAAAACCCTCTTTTTTGACAAGTCTTTCTCATGAAAAGACCAAGAAAAGTGATATCTGTTGGAGGAAGTCAAGAAAACCATTACAATGACCAAGAAGATGAATTGGAGTTGTCAAGAATTTGTGTGGCTCACGTTGACGGTTGCAATAGATACTAGTGACTGAAATAATGTATGAATGGCTGAAAAATGTTAAGCATTAGACTGGCCTAATGAAACATGTCTAAACTTACTATAGCCTGGTCCTCCATGTCCCAGGTCTCTTGGTCCTTGAAAAGGACAAAAAAAATAAAAACGAAACAGAAATTAGTGTTGGAAAAGCAAATGTATACCTTACATTTACCCACAAAGTCTTTAAACATTGATTTTATTTTCTCTCTCATTAGTGTACCATCATTAAGACCCTAGTCACTTTTTACCCGGGGATATGATCAAGGTACCTTCCATGACCACAGAGCTTTCATAAAAACAAGCTGGTGCAAAAATTGAGACTACTTTCAGGTCGATTTTGAACACAAGAATAACCATCATACATGGAATACCATTCCAATAGTTTAATTTGTTTTGATCCATGAGGTAAACCCAGCTATTTACAATCCTATGAAACATCATTCAGAGCCACAGGAATGATGTTTACAACATTCAACAAGTAATTGCATTCTTCTTGATGCATTTCTTGGTACACTATGATTCTTTCCTTTCCAACAAAGATTTCCAACTCTCAGAACCAATACCCACACAGGTCAAAAGAATTCCTTTTTATAACCCAACTGATAACCTTGACTTACATGGTGAGGAACACCAAGTTTGTCGAACCGAGAGCTTGAAAGACTTGCAATATTTTGGTATTTTAGTTAAACAGGCACACCTTCCCCATTCGGAAAACCAACCTCTCTTCTGTTGAAGTTTGAGAAATTAACTTGAAACACCATCAGAAATTCTTTGGTGCGTCACTTCAAATACCAACTAACTTGTTCCATCAGCAGCTTGATTAATCAGATTCCCCGGAATTGGTGTGAAAGCTCCATCTTTAAAACAATCTTTGCATTGTCACCAGAAGCCAAAGCCAAATGCCTTGAACCAGGCAGACCCCTTTTTTTCCAGCATCACAGAAGTTACCAAAGGAATTATTCTTTTTTTTTTTTTTACTTAAAAGAAAGTCTTTCCATTGACTAACAATACAGTATTCGTCTTGGCACAAAATGTGGATGACTCATTATCGTTTACACAAAAACTTTAATTGGTAACCTTTCTCATGACCACAGTCACTTTAACCAGAGTGTATAGGTACCAGTGTCTAAATGTGGTACCAGTGTCTAAATGTGGTTTTCTAGAGGATTTTACAATGTCAAGAACTTAGTTTTTTTCATCTTCTTTCTATACATGTATTGCGTTGTAAATTGTATTGAATTGTTAATACAAAGGAACTTTTCCCCATAACTTGATGTAACATATATTTTAGATTTTTTTTTCTTTCCAGCAGCATGTCCATTTTCTGTATCGTCTCACCTGTTATCATTGATTTTGTGGGATTTCCAAGTATTCAGTTGAAAGAAGTTTAGGTATAATGAGTGCTTCAAACGACTTTTCAAACCTACTCCAGTTCTGTGATAAGCATCCAAAAAGGTGTCAGCTTAAAGTGGTATGATGACTTGTCTACTCAGAAACATAGAGCTCTACAGCGACAGGTCGACCACCAGTTTTACAGGAACCACATTGCAGGACATTCACTCAGAGTACGTAGAATTATAACCACAGAAATAGACTATTCCAGCTTCTACATGGCTGGCAGATGTATTTGTATACACACAAGGTCAATGCAAATAGACCCAGTACAAGCATATTTCCATCAGGCCAGGGATGGCTGATCCTATATCTCTATTTGTCGAGCACATTGTCCTCTGTGAATCTTTTGCTATTTGCACAATGTTTTGTGTGCAAAATAAAAGATATAGTGACAAACTGCATAGTTAACCCTTTTATATAAATGCTTTAGTTGGATACACATTTAAGACTTAAATAGCATCGTTATGTTTTGGGTTATGGTTCTTAATTATTCTCTATACATACTTTGTGTTTGTAGTCTATAAAACCTTTGAACTACCACCACTTTTGCAGTATATAATTGCAACGGCTCAGTTTATATCTTAAATCACTTGCCAACCACTTCAACCAATCATCATCATATCACCTTTTTGTAAATGTATTCAATCAGAGCTTTTTTCCTTTTTTACTTGTAATAGAGAAAGACAGTAGGTTACCACCAAAAACCTCCATCAGATTTGATCAAGTTAAATACACTCAGTGCGTCGAAACGTTGGTCCTTTGCACTTTTATTAAATTTGCCTGAAGTAATTCATGTGCTTCAGTATTTTCTTTGGATCCTGTCTGAGAGGAGGAGTCCACTGAATTATATCTTTTATATGTTCAAAAAGGACTCTGGATTAAAAAACAAATGTTCCTTCCATTAACAGAACAATGTGAACGGTATCAGGTTGCATGTTATCCACATTTTTTACTCCAAGTATACAATCAAACCAGTTTGTGCTTTTCAACTCTCTTCTCTTAATACAAATCTTCCGGCAGAGTTTTGACCACCTTTCTTTTGGGAGACAAAGCTGCCCATTGTTACACCATAGGTACACAATTATTATTTCATCAGTTTTGAATTGATGCACAACCTGAACATGAATCATGTTCCATACCGGTAACTGTTTTCCCTCATTTCTTCTGTTTCAGTTTGAAACCCCTCATATGGTCTTGTGACTCGCAGACCACCAGACAATAGCTCTGAACACTCTTCAAATTCAATAACCATGAAATTCCAACGCCAAAGATGAGAGGTACATGTACAGCCATTATACACCATTTAACTCCCTCTGCTGGACATTTTCAACCTCTGTGAGAGAACACTTTCTGTCACCTGAGACGGTCATGCATTCAGAAAACAACTAAACACAGTGATGTCCTTACCTGTTGGGCTGTGCCACTGGAAATATTTATCACAGTCTATATTGTGCAACAAAAAACTAAAGTTGAAACAAAATAACTCTAAAGAATATGTTTAAAGTTATGAGATACCCAACAGTTGGAACCATCGTTTTCTTTTTGGGTTTTTTTATTCCTGAAAAATCAGTGCATAATTACACTTCTGCAAGGCCTTAAGTTATTTCACAAACCACCTACTACATTACCTTACATTTTACCACTACTTATCTCCCCTCCATTAAAGCTTATTCACTTCAAACACAAAACCCTTTTGTTTAAGTGTTTTTCTTGTCACTTACCACCAAACTTATTGAATCCTCCACGATCGCCCATTCTGATGAGGAGGAAGAGAGAAACGACACGCATTGGAGGATGGTGCTGACAGGGATTTCCCTCATTGGGTTGTGGGTAACCTTCCCACTCAGAGTCACCCAGTTAAACCCACCCCTCTACATTTTGCATTTGGCTTACTGTACCCATACCTAATCTTGTTCAGAGTTCATCAAATACACATTAAGGACATGAGGCCAGTTTAAAGACCTTGTCGTGGTGTGTTCACAGGCAGCAGAAATTTGGCCATTTTTACCTTCAAGTAGCATCAAGTCTTTGAGCGACTTGTAGGTACCTATTTAATTTCATTGTATAACTTTTTTTTCTTAATTTAACCAACGCCAACATTACGACCTTTAACCCCTGGATGGATGTTGGGTATTGTTTTAGGTCTCAGACAACCTTTACTTTTACACCAATTGCAGAAAATCCCATAACAGATGCTTTTTGAGGCTTTTCTCACCACGTCCCAAATTTTGTCTGTAAGTTTTTGGGCTCTCAAGCTACAGAAAGACTAAAGAACATCTCTAGACTTTCCCCACTTTGCATTTTCCAAACTGATGGCTTAAGAGTAGAAAGCCAGCCTGTAGAGAAGGTAAAGCCTAGGAGAAGATTCACAGATTGATTAAAGCAGAGAATGACACAAAAATCCTGCAGGGGTCGTTTGGGAAGGGGTGGGTGACAGGTGACAAGGGCAGGCGATGGTAATGTATTTTGGCGTCTGAGGGTGAGTTCAGACCAAAAAGCAAACCTGCAATTGTTGTGAGGCGCAACTTAATACGAGGTAATGCAAGAATGAATCAGTTACATAAGAAAAAACGTGTATGACTCTGTGTTGCTAAAGCCTATCCGTGTTGAGATTCTTATGACATCATGAAGTTGCATCAGAAATGGTATGATATCATTTTACAGATTTTGTATATCACAGAAGCTGTAATCAAGGGACACAATTTTGATGGAAGCGTTCTGGTTTCCGTTTTTGTTCAAAGGAGTATTGTCATAAAGTGTTTCACAGGGCTTTGTTTGGCTGTATGCAGAAAAGCAGACCATGTAGAGAGAAAAAGAGGCGAACACATGGACAGTTGTGCTATCCTCAATCACCTGATGAAGATTTATTTTATTATAAAGACATTTGGATGCAAGTGCAGCTAACAATCTGCTCTACAGCTCCACCTCCATTCACGTTAGCTGATGGATTCTGAGACTGGAAATGGTCGCTTAGAGCTCCACTCAAAACTCAAGCATTAAAAAGTTGTTTGCTTTTCCCATCTTGCAACCACACTTTGCAAGATGAAGTTATTTCTGCATTGTGTCTAGATCTTTTTTGTAATTAATGCACCTCAGCATCACATCCCTTGTGACTATGTAGGTACAGTAAAACTGCTGAACACCAGAGACAGACAAACAGATGTTCTGAAGCTGACATGAAATGCCAGTGGTCAGTGTCCATCAGAGAAATCCTGGCAATGATCCTTGCTAAATCTTCACCAAACTGGACACTGGTCAATAGCTTGAAAAGGCAGTAAATGTATATGGCCTTGGATTGTATAGACTACTAAAAGATGCTTTAATACTTCATGTCGCATTCACACACTCACAGCAGAAACTGCTACATAAAGTGACTGTCAGTATTAACAAATCCTATTAGTACACAATCACACAATCCTTGGTTCTTGTGTCCCACAGGAGACCTCAAATTTGACTGGAGGAGGTTTGGGAGTGATACCCCTGACCGTTCAGTTGAGAGACTACCTACTGTACCACTGAGCCACAGCCACCACAATCCTAGACACAGTTCTTGGAAAAGGCAGTAAAACTTGACGATGTGCCTCTTGATGATGTCATGAACCCTGACACCACTACTTTTGGGCCTCTTGCATAGCATCACGGCAAACATCTGTGGGTTGGGTTTGGTCAACACATAATCACACTCAAAGCAGCGCGAGTAATTTTAGGTAAAAATTAACTTTGCTTTAGGTCTGAACAAAGTTGCCATTTTGGTAACCATTTGGACTCTTGAGTTTGTAGAGGCTCACTGGCCAAGCTAGCTGAACTGTTAGCACATCTATCAATAACAAGGGTACAAATGTAATTTTAAAATAATTAGTTGGTATGTGGGTTAGTTTGGGAAATTCTATCTAACCCTTAACTTTCAGTTTAAACTCCCACACTTCCTTAGTTCTTGCCTTCGCAAACAGTATAAACAGTTCATAAAGTCAAGCCATCACATCTCATAGACATCTGGTTAAAGGGGGGGAAGGGCACAAGCTGCTTTTCAACTAAATTGTTCTTTCTTAAATTTTAAACAAACATCATTATCAAACTAGTTTAACTTTTTAAAAGGTAAAGGATTAAAATGCACAGTCACTGAACAATGCTTATGTTCAACAACACGTGGTAAGTGGATGAGTCTTGCTCAGTGTCTACTTAAAAGGATGCCATGAAAATGCATTGGGTAGTAATTTGCAAATATTGTAATAGAGGTTAAGTAGATTTAATTGTAGCTCATGATGAATGAGGGTAAATTGAACGAAATGGCCAACGTAAAACCTCCAAAAACAAAAGCGACAACTTACCATACCAGTTTGTGCCTCATAGATTTTCCCATACGATGATGTTACTATTGTTTTAAGAGCTATTCATGCAATTTGCCTCTCCTCCTCAGTGATTCCATGTCAATGTATGGGCAATGTGAAGCTATGAGTTAACCAAAGTGTGCTAACAGTAGCCTGCTAACACAACAATGCAGGGTGGACAATTTTGTCCACCACTTGCGCTTTTATGGTGCGTTCTAAATCATAACTCCTTTGTGCGAACGCCAGTGGAAATGGAGGTGTGTCGCTGCAGGAGAGCGGAGGCTTCAGAATAGTGGCAGTGTCACCAAACAGCAGTTTGTGTTGGTTTAATGCTCAAGGGCGACATCTACAGGATCAAAAGTTGCACATTCTTCCTTTAATAAACAACTTTAAATTGTATAAGTCTACTTATTTCATCATGTATATCGTTCATTCACGAGTTTGAAGAAAAATAAAGTTGGGAGAACAGTCTGTTTCGATTGCTTGTCAGAGGGATTTTTATTTTGACAAATGTTCTCAACCTCTGTTAAGAGCGGCATGTTCAGTTTTCCTAGTAAACGCACCATACACTCCATCCAGTCAAACCACCATGATAAACCCCCAACATGTGGTTACGTGTTGCATCTCAGTTGATGTTTTCTTTAGTCGTTTTACATTTTAAGAAGTGACAAAAAACACTGATTGGGAAGTCTAGATGCCTGAATTCACCGTTGTAACTAACTTAACTTTGATTAAAATGTAATTTCTCCCCAATACCTAACTGTGTTTTCACTTTTTGTGTCAATGTAAAGAATCAATGAACTTTTCCTTAAGTGTGGTTGTGTGGGAGGGTCATGTTTTTAATGTATGTCATTTTTAAAAAGAGACATGTGAATTTTTAAATTGGTTAGCCATGCTCAGGCCTTCAGTGAACTTACTGACTTCAGCACCAACAGGTTTATCCTGGTTCAGGTCGTAGAGCTGTTTTCAAGGCTTCTCTTTCAGTGCTTCATATGTATCATGAGGTTGTTTTTTGTATCTTTACACATGTTCCCAGTGTTTTCTGTTGAGTTTATATCGATGTGGACTCTGAAGGTGTAGTTTCATACCAGCTTTCAACCACAGGGATCTACATTTTAGACACCAAACTGCAACATGATGTGATCCACTGGACATGTAAACCACCACCTTCATTTTGTGCTATAGGAACTACGCTCTGAACATTTAGATTCATGTTGTACACTCCTGTTGCATTGCTTGCTTTTTAAGCAAGTTTTGACACACCAGAATTCACACCTCAGTTGCTTTATAATGTAGCTACAAATGTGTAGCGGTCCTCCACATGTAGGTTTCAAACTGTTAATGTGCATTACTGTGTTCAGATTTAGAGCACTTTCATAAGTTCAACAAGTACTAACACTAACACTCACCCCATGCCACCTCGACCTCTCGGTCCACCTCTGCCCCCTCGGTCAAAACCTCGATCAAATCCTCCGGCACCGCGACCTCCAAATCCACCCCCACGGCCCCTTCCGCCACGGGCATCCTGACCTCCGTAACCTCCATCAGGGCCACCGTAGCCTCCACCCCCTCCGCCACTCATCGGAGGGCTTTCGTCACCATAACCTGAGAGAGTTGAGAGAAAATCAGATGTTAACAGATTTACCTGTTAAAAGTGCAAGATCAACTTTGATTAACAAAGCTGCTTTATAAAATCAAAAACTGGAATATATACATATAGAATTTGCAGTTTTAACAACTCTTCCCTATAGAAACTAAAACATACAACTAACTTAGAAAAAGTCAATAGAAACCAATCCCTTACCTCCACCTTGTCCATACTGGCTCTGTTGATTGTAGCTCTGTGGAGGGGGAGAGTTGTAGCTGGGGGGCTGGTTGTGGTGTCCTCCTCCGTGTTGGGGTGGTTGTGGGTGGCTCCCGCTGCCACCATAGCCTCCTGTGTGACCTCCACTGCTGCCATAACCACCTCCACTTTGCCCACTGCTCGGTGGCTGGTTGTAGCTGGGAGCCTGCGAGCCACCTTCATAGCTGTTTAAGGTTAAGGAGAGAACTTTTTTACAGTTTGGTATGAAGAAAGTTAGTACTAGTTGGCATAAAAAAAGGCTTTAAAGAACAAAGGTTTTTATGAAGCAGAAGGTAATTTTGTCTCACCCTCCTGAGGATGAAGGGGGAGGCTGCTGCTGCTGGCTGTATCCAGCGAAGGATGACTGCTGGTTGTAGCCCATGTTGGAGGACTGGTTACTGTTATAGCCTCCAGAGCTATAGGACTGACTGGGGTGATTATAACCACCACCCCCACCACCTCCTCCTCCCTGATTAGAAGATGGTGAACTATATCCTGGGAGAAAAGAGGAGACACGACATGCAGTTCAAATGTATACTGCCATTTTTATGCAACAATAAATCGTTGTGGGTTCAGACAAGTACTCCTCTACCTGACTGGGGTTGACCATAGCTGCCATATCCTCCTTGGTTGTAGGAGCCAGAGCCGCTATCAGAGCTCTGGTTGTAGCCTCCATATCCCTGCTGGCTGTAACCTTGGCCAGAGGACTGACCATAACCCTGGTTAGCACCACCACCTCCACCACCGCCACCACCACCACCACCTCCACCATAGGACCCATAGCTGCAAGCAGGTAAAAAGAAAAGAGAAGAGTTTGTATAAAATATGAACAGACAGCTTAAAAATGTAGTGGACAGAATAAGCAATTTACCATACATTTCCAAGATATAACAATTAGAGCAATTACATACAAGTGAGTCATATAAATCTGGCTGTCAAACTCTTGTTTAGAGTTACAGTACTTACCCCTGGGCAGACGTTTGGGAATAATCTATGGAATAAACAAAAACTAATGTTAATACTAATACAACACGTTTAGATTGCAATAGTACAGTGGCTGGGAAGTGCAAAGCAAAATTACCAATGTGAGACAAATTTACATTTTGAAAAACATTTACATTTTATAAAAAGATGTGAAACGCTTTTACAATCGATGAGACAAATTTACAAACGTCAGAATCTTGACAAAATGGGAACGTACCCAATGTCGGAAGTGATCGAGTGAGGGGGTCATTTTTTATTTTTTTATTTTTTTGTTTTGTCGCGGTGCATTCCCTTTCCGTCAAGATTTCTGTCATTTGTAAATTTCTTTGGGGACTGGTGAAAGTGTTCTGCCTCTTGTAAATTTGTCTCAGCGATTGTAGGAGTGTTTCACATCTTCCTTGGTCCTTGCTAAGTGTTTTTGGTTTTGTAAATTTGTCTCACATTTTGTAAAAGTGTTTAACACTTACTCATTTTGCTTTGCACTTCCCAGCCACCGTACAACAGGCATTTCACAGGAACATTGTTTACAGCCACTATCCCTGTGTCTATATAAATAGACACTTTGCATACTTATTGACTATAGCTAAATAAAACCATCACCTTCAAGCACATATGGGAAGGACAATTTAACAGGTGAGGTGTGTGTGTGTGTGCGCGTGCGTGTGTGAGCGTGTGTGTGAGCGTGTGTGTGTGTGCGTGTGTGTGTGTGTGTGAACGTGTGTGTGTGTGTGTGTGCGTGTGAGCGTGTGCGTGTGAGCGTGTGCGTGCGTGTGTGAGCGTGTGTGTGTGTGTGCGTGCGTGTGTGTGTGTGTGTGAGCGTGTGTGTGTGAGCGTGTGTGTGTGTGTGTGTGTGTGTGTGTGTGTGTGTGTGTGTGCGTGTGCGAGCGTGTGTGTGAGTGTGTGCGTGTGTGTGTGTGTGTGAGCGTGTGTGTGAGCGTGTGTGTGAGCGTGTGTGTGTGTGAGCGTGTGTGTGTGTGTATGTGAGCGTGTGTGTGTGTGTGTGTGTGTGTGTGTGTGTGTGTGTGTGAGCGTGTGTGTGAGCGTGTGTGTGTGTGTGAGCGTGTGTGTGTGTGTGTGTGCGTGTGAGTGTGTGTGTGCGTGCTGGGGGCGGGGCCGCCTTCAGAAACTGGGTCACATACACAGCAGCTACCGAGCTAGCTGATGCCACTAGACGGTTCAGCTTAGTAACAGCAGGTTAACTGAAACTACCGATAGCAACTGTGTGCTAACGGTAAACATGTCGGTGTTAGCTCGCCGGTAGAAAATGCTTTGGGGTCATTCGGTATTATAACCGGAGTCATTCGTGACGAAAACAACATTGCCAGTTCAAGCACTGCCTGCAATGTCACACACATTAAAGCAGCAGGTTAATACATGACATTCAACGACCTCCGAGTTATCAACCAGCTAACTAGCTTCTCATCACTAGCTTGTAACCGGGTAACGTTAAAACATCGGTGGCGATATTTCTCCATATAGAAGCAAACTAGTGTTTTTTTCGACATTGTTATCGTTTTCGCAAGCGCTTCATAATATTGTAATGTTTTTCCTCACCGTTTGACGACATTACGAAGACCGTGAAATAGCCGTCGACTTTACTCAGAGTCGGTGTGTTGTTGTTGTTAACGGACGGACTGAACCGGGGGAAGATGAAGAAACGCCGGCGGTCCCTCTTGACAGCGCAGTCGTGCAGTTCCTCCTCCGGCCGAAAGGGGGCGGGGCTGCAGCCTCCTGCGTCTTCTTATCAATAATACAGAAATAGATCGTGACATTTTTTTTTCAGCTATTGCAAAAATGATGTCGGAAAATACAATAACCAGGCGAGATTATATATTTTTTAACAGCAAAGCAACTTGTCATCTCTTCTAAATTTTTTTATTAAATTATGGTATTTACTCCAGTATATTTAACAATTAGAATTACAAGTTACTTTCGCATAAAAAATACAAACATTTGCTTGTAATACAATCCAGCATCCTTCTTAAATATTCACAGCCTATACAAATACTTTACTTTGCAATTTTTGGTGATTAAAGTAGATTAATTATTTTCTTTTGCAAGGTGAAATTTCTGTTTTTACACTCTGTTAACACATAGGCTGAAATATACACACAAACAGGATCCTATGGACATGCACTAATGGAGAGATGTCAGAGTGATGGAGCTGCCCACAGCGGGCGCTCCTGGGTTGGTGGTGGGGAGGGGGTTTTGTGCCTTGCTCAGGGGGAACCTCGGCAGTGCTCAGGAAGTGATCTGACACCTCTCCAGCTACCATCTTCCATATTAGGTCCACACCGGGACTTGAACCGGCAACCCTCCGGTTCCCAACACAAGTCCCTACAGACTGAGCTACTGCCACCCCAGTTTCTGATGGTATTAAATAATAACACCACTTAATAGAGTTTTTCTGCGTTTGTAGGGTAGTACCATAAGAGGAGGACATCTCTACGTTTGAGCATAAGTTACAAAAAAAAGTTTGGATACTTGTGTTTATGACTAACTGTCAAATCTCACGGTCCCACTATAAAACAAATTCCTAATCCTATATGTATCATGTCACTTTCTATATGGTAATATAGGAGTCATAGGAAAAATACAACGCTTCCCCCTGGATTTTGGAGGAGCAGAAGAACAATGTCAACTAGGTATAGGTGTTGCACATTTAGTTAACTTTCACTTCTAGCTCTTGTTTATAAAGATTTTGAGTTGATGCAGAATAAGTGTGACGATGCTCACTAAACTACAATCTAAAGTTTGCAGCTTCTGAAGTTCTTGAAAACAGACTTATTTATTAACACTTCAAAAGTAAAAATGGAAACATTGATTGTGTTTATGTATGAAATTCACTCTGCGGTGTTGTTGTTTTCTCGTCACCATGGCAGCAAAGTCTCACACAAGCAACCAGGCTTTCCCCAGGTGAGTGAAAACCGAGCTGACGACGAAGCAGTCATTACTGAAACCTAATTTCATCATGTGGGTTTCATTTTTACTTTATTCTTCACTTTTCTATGTCTTCTGGGAAATTTCAATTTTACTTTTGTATGTTTTACTTGGAGAGCTACATATCTCCAATATGTGCTTCAGTCTACAACAGAGAAATACGTTTATTTGATCTGAGAGTCACAGCAGGGCCTTTGCTTCCATTTTATCTGCTTAATGTACTTTATCAAAAATAAAAAAGCAACTGAGGCTGCCGGTGTCAACATGAACCCTCTGATGGACGATGACCACAGGTTGGCCCTTCATGCTAAGCAGTGCCACAGCGGCTCAAAGACATCCAGACCCAGGCATCTGAATCAGAGCAGCATTAGCTTTGGTGACACGGTTTGCAGCTACACCACCACCCATCACCAGGTCAGCCTGCAGTCATTATCTAAACCTATAAGGTACTCAAGTCTGGTTTTATCATCACTTTGTGTTTTCATGTTTGTCAGAGTTACTGTGGAAGGTCTACGGATGGACGTCCTCTTGTTTTCCACCACAGAGATCCCAGCTTCCTGTCGCAGCATCACGCCAGGCTAGCTCTCAGCACCCAGGCACTGAGTCGACTGCGGACACACAATCAGGAGGTGCACGGGCCCAAACACATCCCTGTGGTAAGACAATAACATCAGGAGTACTATCACGACCACTAACACTGTCACTCCATGCATCCCATCCAGCAATTTAATAGAGCCTGAGTCTGTCAGTGGCAAAAATATACACTTTTAGTGGCAAACTTTGAGTGTGCACATGTGGATTACAAGGACTTCATTGCAGCCATTACAGCCTGTGCTAAAGGATGTCAGAGAACGTGTCTCTTTTGAGTACATCAGTCCTTGTTGTCATCTCTCAACCTTTTTTATGTATTGAAACTACTGAGTTTTGGTGAGCCTGAGTACCATTCATTGTTTATCATTCACTTATTAAATATAACCGCTGTTTAAAAAAAACCCAAAGACCTTTGACAATTTGAGCCTTGGTCCCTCCCCCGACCTTTTTTACCTCCTCATCGTTCCAGAGGATCGACCCAAAGGAGGAGAACTGGGGTCGGCATCGCAGTGGCCAGGCGGTCAGAGAGGTCACCAACCCTCAGGGTCTATCTGAATACCGGACCACCTACAAAACAGAGCACACACCACCAGGGATGGATGGCTCGCTACATCTGACCAGCAGCACACCCACACAGTGGCATCAATACAATATACTGACAGGTAGTATGAATAGCTCCCACATTGAAATACTAACACATTTCCTTCTAAGGAAGCTGTATTCACTGGTGTTAGGAAAGGGAAGCTGCTGGAATTTTCACATTAAGAGCTCAGAATTTATTTTGATACGGAGGATTTTGCAGTTTCATTACAGACAAATGTTATTACTAACACACAGGTCTGCAATAGAAACTATTAAATACATCATTGGCAGGCGGAGAGTCATCTAAAACCTGAAATGTTTTATCCATGTAAATTAAGGTTTTAGTTTCCACAGCACTGCCTGTATAATGTTTATGGGTGAGTCATCGCTTGAATGCATTTAAAATCCTGTGTCTACTGCCCTCCTGTGGCCACACAGGAACTGCAACCCCTACATTTTATTTTGTGGCGCAAATAGCAGCATAAATATAGATTTCTTATATTTCAGTCTCAGTGAAGAAGCTATTTTGTGTTGGGGGGGGGGTGGTGATAACAAAATAGCAGTTATTTAACCTTTCAATCAACCCCTGCTCTACTATAGGGTGGTGGTGGACATGTTTTGTGTCTAATTAATGTTTGAAATTTTGGTTTTGTTCACAAATTCAATGACAAATCTAACCTGTGTGCAGGAGAAGCGAGGCAAATGGCGAGTCCAGGAAAACCTCGTAGACACTCCAGAGACAAGCAGCTTTGGGCGGCGAGGCGCTGGGAGACAAACTACTCTGCACTGAGACTCTACTGACACAACACAGAGGGCTAACAAAGGGCCCATTAGTCAAATATCATGATCATCTGACTACCACAAAGAGCTGCTGTCCTCTCTTAAATACAACTCTGTACTTTTATGATTCAATTTGAGCTGCAGGGTGCGTCAGATTTGCAGATACAAATGGTCACAAGAAATCCCTCTTCTGAGAACATGTAAACTGGACGAACAGCCCTCGAGGGAAACAGGAGTTGCAGTGACTTATCAGTGTTGTGCAATATTTGCCCTGTTGACAAACATTAGCACATCAGCAAATAATGTGGCATGTGCCGATGTGCTGCATCTATTTAATGCAGGCAAGCTAGTTTTTCCAACTGTTGATTTAGAGAAGATTTTTTTTAGTGCTGATGCAGAAGAAGTAGTCCTTTGTTGAACAAACCAATTTGTTTTCCTGGTCAAAGGTGAAACAAACTGTCAGCATTGTGGGAGTCTTACAGTCACTGGGAGTCTGTAAAGACATGTTCCAGTGACATTTTCGAAGGACTACAATTTAAATACCGATACGTCCAATCCCATGAATCATTTGATGAAAAAAGCAAACAGAATTTTAAAAAAAGAAGGGAAGAAACATCAGTATTGGAATTGTTATTTTAAATGTCAGTATCTGCCCTGATTCTCAAGTCATGCAACTGATAAATAAATCTAAATTCTGGGCTAAGAGGTGGATTATATGCTCATAATACCCACTGGAGAAAACAAATACATTTGACGATGAATTCACAAGAAGGATTTTAATTAAACTTCACGAGTGTTTCTAACATTTGGTAAGTTTGTAAGCTTCCTGGTTTTAGTGAGGCCAAATTATGCAGTTCCTGTCAAAGTCCATCTTTTTAAATCAAACTTTATTTGTTTCATAAAGATCTCCAATACAGACAAATCATGAAATGAGTTAAAAGACAGTGATCAGACCAAAATAGTTGAGACTTAGGAGGGAAGAACACAGATAAATATCAAGGAGAGAGAAAGGGATGACTTTAGAGGGACAGAGTGAGGTCGTAGGCCTATTTACAGAAACAGTCCACATCAGTAACACACCGTGGGGCTTCAGATAAGAGCTAATACACCACAGAGTCCAGCTAGCAGCGGTACAGCAGTAACCTTGTATTTAAGCACAGCACAGAGCTCTGCTTTGATTCCAGTTTTAAGCGCTAGTTTTTAAATACTAAAGCAGAAACAGAAAACAAAAAAATAAAAAAAGGAAAAACAAAAAAAACTTCACCTGTTGTTAAGTGACAAAAACAACTGTGGATTCTGAGGAGGTTAAAATGATGTAGTAATGCTACAAGAACTGCTCAGTAGTCCCGGGAGAGTGAAGGATTTAAAAGCATTACCGACATCTTAAAATGAAGCACACTTCAACAAAGAAACCAAAAAGGGAAGAGTTCAGCTTTGTGTTCATGGCAGGGTGGCGTGTGTGTTTGAGCGTTTCAGTGTTGCATGTGAAGCAGATAAACTTCACGTGGTGGCTTCATGCATGGCCTTTGAATTCATCAAGAAAAAAATATCAAAGTAAGTGGGTGATGAGGTTTAAATGTCAAAAAAAAAAAAGTGTGAGGGAGAATTGAAACATATCCGATGTGTGAAAACAAAAAAAAGTGTGTCTTCCTCTGTGGCAGAGACCAGCGAACCAGGAGGCGTCTGAAAACGTTTTGCTCTCCTCTTTTCTTTAAACAAACTTCCTTCCTATTTCCACCTTCCGTTTCTTGTCGTTCATCTTTCGAAGGTTTCTGCACGTCCGTCTACTCGTTCTTCTTCTCCTTCTGTTTGAGCAGTTTGTTGATCTCCCTCTTGGCCATGCCGGCGTACTTGCTGATGATGCCGTTCTGGTTCAGGCCGGGCAGCAGCAGCAGGAAGCTCACTGCGGAACAAAAAACAAAGTGTGAACAGCTTTGGAGTGTCACAGGCCACAAGTTTTTAAAATCATACAGTCTCACCATATTTTTACATGTACATTTTGTATATATTGAATGGACTTCCCCTTAAGGACTTCATGTTAGGGGTAATAAGACACATACCCAGCTGGGATAAATGGATTTGAATAGGATAAAGCCAAAGCTTTGCCTTTAATCTTTCAATTTCAGCACAAACCAAAGTCCTTAATCAGCCTGTACCGTCCCCCAAAGCCTCAATTGTTCAACCTTTGGGTTATTAATTATGGTACAGAGTTTTTCAAAATCATTTAACAGGGTGGTTTTAAATGAGTTTTTAAAGTATTTCAAATGATATAAAATAATCTTAAAATAAATACTCTGTTAAGAACACCTGAATGCTTCCAGCATACACTCTGAATGTTTGGTAGGGTCAAAAATGTGATGAGCTGTGGGAGGCCTAAATAACTGGCTTTCAAAGAGACTTGTGAGTTATGGAGTTGTGGAGCTCAGGACATGAAATACTTCAAACGAGTTATTATGAAAGTATTGCTGCTGAGCAAGTCAAGAAAGTTACATCATTAACAAAACTCCCCTGATTTCTTCTGTCTATCAAAGGGGATGTTTAATATTCCAACAGCACACTGATGGGCAGGAAGGGAGTGGAAGAAGTCAATATTTCCATCACCAAAACTTAACCTTTGCTTAAAAAGATATTCATTCATATGCAGAAATGTTAAGAGAATTTGTGTAAAATGATCATAAAGCTTTTCAGCAAATAAAGCGAACAGAGACAGGTCCACTTGATCTCAGAGCCTCATACCTGTATATGATCAGCCTAGTGGTGTAGGAGTATATTTTAATACAGAATGTCTTATCAGGGTTGTCAGTTTAAACCTTTAAAGACATGAAGCAGCTAGCACACCAAGGGAAACTTAATCTGAGATTAAATGAAAAGAACACTTTGTTGTGTCGGAGTCATTCACCCTCTGCAGTCATCTGTACTTCATGGTTCTCTGAATACTTGACATATCTCAGCTTATATAACTGATGGTCGGCTCCTACACAGCAGGAAAACCTGCCGACTCACCAACTGTCACTCTGCCTGAGGCACCTCTGTGCAGCTTTAAGGCTGACACCGCTGTTTGTCTTCTGCTCACTTTAATGTTCACAGAACAGCTTAAAAAAAAAAAAAAAAAAAAAAAACAACACGTCATGGTTTACCAGATTGTTCTTCCTACTTTGGTCACAACTCAAGGTGAAGGGTTAAATAACTTCCCCTTGTGTGTCATTAGTAATGAGGAGAATATACTGGATCTGGTTTATTACCATCGATAGAACATTTGTCTCAGGGATCTCAGTATTGATCTACATTACTGCTGCACTTCTGAGTCAGTACCAGGAAGCCTGGTGATGACCGACAGGGCTCATGTACTGTAATCGGGGGGGGGGCGGGGGGCTTACAAGATACAAAACTGAGCAGCAGCCTCTGAAAAAAAACAAAAAACAGCAGATGCAAAACTCATGACAAGCTGCACCATTTGACACAGACAGCTAATACTTCCTGTTTTGTCATGTTTAGTTCACCACAGCAGTCAGACATAAGAGGATAAGCAAACCAATTCCAACATGTATCTGAAGAACAGGATCCTGATCAAACAAGTCTCTCATAGCTAAAGGATTTGATACATCATATTGAAGTGTTGTACTGGGTGGTGTCGTTTCATGGGAAAGTCCAAAACAAAGCAACTTTTAAGTGAGGGATTGTTTTTGTATTGCCTTTTATAATGAATCTGTTGGAATTAGACACTAGCAACTACTGGTTGATTAATTCTAACGGAATATAGCACTAAAAAGAAAAAGAAGTCCATTAATATTGGGAAACACTGGATGATAGTCGTGTCTTGTGGCAGCAGAACTTTTGATTTTATCCTTACAGTTAAAGCATGTGTATGGTCTAAAAATGGTGTGTGTCGGGGGATGAAGGGGCGATAGTCCAGGTGTATTTTGGCCCGTGTCCATTAATTTTTTTTTGTACTGGCAGCACAGACTACCTCAATTACACAGCGCTTCCTGTTGCTAGGTTAAGAAAGTTGTCTTATGGCACTTCCTTATAGAGTCTTTTAAAATTGCTCTGTAAGGAAGGAAGCAGCATACAGAAATGCATGCTGCTTCATTTCTGAAGATGTAGAGACAATGAAGAGGAGTCGTGTCCTGGCATTAGCAGGAGCTCTAGACGTGGACATTGTCTGGGTGCGTGAGAAACTGTGAGGTAAAGATTTGTTTTTCCTCCAACATTGTTGATGAATTGATAACCAGAGTCCCACCCCTTCTTTGATTGTGATAGTCAGTGAGAGAGAAGTGACATGAGTGCAGCAGTGTTGCAAAAGATGAACTATTTCCAACAGTAGCTCTGTGAGTGGAGAAGTGCATTAACTGTGTACAAAAAGGTGCTGCCAGCACAAAAAGTGCCATTAGTGGACACAGGCCCGAAATGACCAACACAGAAGGATTTTGAGAAGTGGGTTGTAAAAACATTAAAGTGACTGTTGTCGTGTACTCACCGATCAAATAAGTGAGGAACAAGTTGTGCACCTGCTGTCCGATCCAGGCCACTGCCAGCAAGCTGCTGATCACTGAGGCAAAGTACTGTAAAGAGGGAGATCACATTACATTTAACCATCAGCTACTCAGACACACAGACTGCAGGTTGACCATCATTAAAGGACATTTCATGAATCTTTTTTTTTAGTTATGTTGAAGTACATCTATCAGCAGAACATACAAGGTCATCCTAAAGGAACCAACAGAGCCACAAGAGTGTGAGCTGTGCTTTGAAAGGGATAGTTGGTATTTTTTAAAGTGAGTTTGTATAAAAAGGTACTACTCAATATTAAGTATTTTAGCCATAGGACAGGTTGTTCAGCACGGCTCTGTTAACAAGAGAACGGCAGAGGTGCAGGCACAGAAGCTAGTCCACACACAGCCATGCAGAAGGAGACGTTTGCACCATGCAATTTAGCTCATTTTAACTAAGCTAAAAAAAACAACGTAAAGGAAATTGTGTTCTACATTAAGATGATGTCCAACAACAAACAGACATTTTGATCAAATTAAACTATTGTTGGGGACCATGGGTTTTATCTTCATGCAATAAATACGTGAGCAGAAAACTTGCTCTGTAGACAAACTTGGAATCAGCTCTTTTTTTCAAATTTAATTCTGAAACTTTGGTCCAGCAGGGAGCTCAGGTGAGTGCTGCAGTATAAAATTAGCTAAATAACATGGAGCAAACCTCCCCTTCTGTATAGCTGTTAGGGTTCTCATGATGGGGGCCAATCTGACACATATCTGATGTGGCTAATATACTTACTATTGACAAGTACTTCATACAACCCCCCTTAAAATACCCATATACCAGTTTAACAGAGTCTCTAACAGTGTTAAGGCTTGCTGTGAAAAACAGGTTATCACTCCATGTAACCCAGTTTGAGGGCTGCTAAGTGGAGCAGCAAAGCCAAATCCAGTGAGGATATCTTTATTCAGAGCACAGAAAAAGCTCCCCTTCGTAATAAACAGACAGGAGGGCTCCTTTTATTGCACTGCACATATCACCAAGGATCATGTCTAAAGTTAAAGCTGCAAGGATTACGTTTTTGTGTTTTCTTTTACCATTTTTGGCTTCTCCTCCTTGAGGGCGCAGAGGCGCTTCCACCAGCCCACACACCGACGCTGGGTCTTCACCAGGTTACCGCAGATCTCGTGGAAACGCTGCTGCTGCTCGGTGGTCCTGTGAACGAGGAAAAGTTAAGAGTTTAAAAAAAAACACAAAACATACTGAATCCTGGTATTAGTTTTGTTCCCTTAAAACAGGGGGGGGGGGCAAAAGGAAGTCATTTATTTTGACTATTTACCAACTAATCTAATTGAGAGGAAGCAGTTTGACAAACCTCACAACTGAAGAGATATCCACATATCAGACAACAGTTAGTTCCGACCAAAAAATTAGATTGGATCAGGGGGCTTTCCATTAATGACGATGTAGAAGAACATCACAGTATGTATCACTCCATCTCAGACAGCAGCTCTGAATACTTTAAATTCACATTTACAACTGACAGCGACAACAATTTCACTGGTTTCATGATCAAATTTATTTATTTTAACATACAAGTAAATGGTTGGTACTACAAAGTAGGTTCTCTATGGTAACCATGGATACAAACAGTAGCAAGAATGCCGTAGAATAGAAGGTTTGGGTTGCATAGAAATGGTCTAGTTTCAATCAATTTGTTGAGTCGGTGGAGTAAAAGTAATCTGTTGTTGATTTTTTTAGTTTGTACCACTATTTTCTGCTCGTATAAAAGTAACTTCACACTCGAGGTCGAGATGTTGTTCTGGACATCAACCCTGCTGTGATTATATTCGGCACTTGGCCTGCGACCTCGTGCCTACAGCCAAATCACAGCAGTGCTGATATTCAGAACATCACTCACTCTCGTGTGGTATTGCTCAAAGAGACACATGCATAACAGGGGGGTGTAGATGCAGTGGCAGAACAAGAACTTCTTTGTTACGCAGGGTAAAAATCACTTCTTTTTTAAAATATATTCTCGTAGCTTTGAAGACAGAAGCTTCTGTTGGAAAGGGATCCTTTCATTGAAGGCCAGAAACAGAGTTTGTCTCTTTCTATAGGGATCTTTGTTATTATCAAACTTGAAGAAATCCAATTCATTTTAATCAAGTACATTTGTCATCAAAGATTCAGTTTTAGCCATTAAAGCCTTTATTGGCTGCAGGTTGAAGCGCTTTCTATAAAGACTCATAGTTTTACCTAAATGTCATAGAAAACTAAATATGTCATTTCAAATGTGATTATTTGTAGGTTCTCTTAAATCATCTTATTGTGAACCCATTATTTAGGTGTGTTGGCCTCTTGAGGGGACAACCTGGGCTCTGGGAAATTGATGGCTTCTGTTCACCATGTCACTGGACAAAAATCTGACAGGTTATAGCAAAGAAACCAAGTTAAACTGCTCAGTCAGGTTTGAAAGACTAGATGGACACCAGACTGGCAGGGGCATAGAAGTTGAGTGGAGGAGAGCAGCTGAGAGAAGTGGCCTTCACTTTCTGCTTAGCCATCCTTTCCTATTTGTGTCCTTGTCAGAGAGCCAAACGCAGACCGTGACTGGACTTTGATAGCTCTCTTTAACCAGCCGTCAGAGACACACTCCTACTGTGTCTGACTCTTCTGCAGGCTCAGTGAGTGAGCAGCAGCCTGATGTACACAGCATAATCTCAAAGAGTCTTGGATCAGACGTTACACTTTTCTGGCCTATATAAAGAACAAAAAGCTACCTCACAAACCCCAGCATGCATTAGTAAACAACACCAGAGTTCATTTCAACCACAGACAAAAAAAAGGGTGCTCTAAACCCACTCACACCACTGAATGCAAAGTGTAAAAACAAACTAGCTGTTGCTCCTCACTGTGACATGGCTTGTTACCCTATCCTGTTCTGGGGGTCTGATTAACACATACACAGACACACACAGCAGAGTCAGGTGGCTGTTTGGTTAAGCTCTGTGTAATGTCACGGCTCCATGGTGTTGTACAATATGCTAGTCAGAATTTAGGTGACAAATTAAGCCATCCTAGGCTTCTCTTAACAACTTCCCCTTTATCTCAAGTTACTGAAATGGCTCAGATCAGTCCAAAAATAAGCAAATCTCCAACTGAGGAACTGTGAACAATGTCATCTCATTGTTTCTGCCTTTTGCTACCATTTAATCTAGAAAGGGACTAAGCAAGGATTGATTTTTGTTTCCGATAACAGAAACAAAAATCAATTTTAAGATTGCGTAACTCCTGAACACAAAGCAACTGCATATCAAATTGTACATGTAAGAAATAGACATATTTTAATCGTCTACAGGAAAACCAATTCCCCCCCCCCCCCATAAATGTGACTTTAATTGTCATCTCTCACCACTTATTGGCACCAAAGACCCTGGGTGCCAGGGTGGGCACAAGGTAGTCAGCCAGGCAGAGCAGCATGATGGTGCAGGAAACCCCGGTCAGCACAGATGGATCCAAATAATAAATCATCCTGTAGGAGGAAAAACATGGTCAGACCGAATTATGAACCATATTTATATCAACTGCCCATAATGACAATTTCAGCATGTTGTATCATTCATACGTCGAAGAGGTTGGTTAGACTTTATGCGGTTGTGATTGTGAGACCCCTGTACAGTACAACAGAGCTGTAATGTTAACTACTGTCTGCCAAGTAAATACACAAGGCCCAGAACAAAGGCTGCATGCAGGAGATTAAAAGGAAGGGAGTTAACATTTAGGAATATACAAAAGGAATGCTTTGTATTGTGTGTTAGTCAAGGTTGTTCAAACAATGTAACAACTTCAGTTCATTCAAAAGAAATCTAATCTGGTATAAAGACAGTTTCCGTCTACACATGTAGTGCTACAAAAATGCAGTACAACGTTACTCATCTTTATCTTGTTACTGACATGTTGGAAGGAAGGAAAACGTGTGCTATGCCAGCTATGGGCGAGCACGTGATGAAAACTCAAGTCAGCTGTACGTACATGAAGAGCAAGCTGGTGGCGACCATCAAGGCTCCAGGGAACCAAGGCTGCTCCCAGCGCAGGACCCGGTCTCCAGCCAGGATCACTTCACCCCAGCCCTGCAGCTGCTCCTCCAGCTGGGCCGTTTCCTGAGCCTGAAAACAGTTTAAGATTACAGCCACATTCAAGTATGATCTAATCAATAAACATACACTGAGCAGTTAACATTTTGCACATTCTGGGAGTCGACATGGATCTCTCCTCAGGAATCAATAACAGTGGACAGTCACCTTGGGAATAAATGCTGAAGTATTTCACTGTCAGGTCCCCACTTTAATAAATACATTTAGTGATGCTTTGCAGATTCCAAAACACAATTCAGAAGATTTTAATTTTGATTTGGTGGTAGAAAATCTAACCTAATTAAATCCTCAACCTTGATAACTCTGCACCTGTGCGGGCATTTACCTGTTTGAAAACAAGCCACCTCTGCAAGTAGCCAAGGAATGCATTTATGAGTTTAAAGCCAAAAAGGGAGTATGCAGGTTTTTTTTTTTTTTTTTTAAGTCCAGGGTGTGAACGCTTTAAACGATAACGGTGCCTCCCCACATGATCGATGTGACTGTGCAGTAAACAGCTTCTCTACATGCTAAAAAAAAAAAAAAAAAACCGCTTTCTCCACATTTCGTCAGATAACGTCGAGTAAAACGTGCCACGACACGATTTCACGCTTTGCTGGTAACTTAAGATTAAAACAGGTAGAAGTCAGCATTACCACCCGCTGGCAAGGTTACGAAGAGAAAACGTCTCTGCTCAAGTTTAAAGAAAAGGGGGTTGAGGCGTTATGTATGTCATGAGCTAGGTAGCTAACTGGCTAGGTGACGCTAGCTGCAGTCGCCTTCGCAGTTCATCGGCTGCGGTTTGAAAAACAGTCGGATAAGCGATTTAAGCCATCTCGCTACTTGACGGTACAAAGTACACGCTTTGTGGGGAAAAAATATATAGGCAATTCTTCGCAGCTTGAAGATAAGCAACACCAGTTTATGATAACGTTACTTGTTACAAACACACGACGGAAAGAAACGATTTTAATTCACAAAAAAAAAAAAAAAACGGTTGATAATACTCACAAGCAAATTTGCGCTTTTGTTGTCACCGTCTGCCATCGTTACTGAACCAGCGTCGGTTAGGTTCTCTTGTAAAATTAGGAAGTATTTGTGTAGTAACAACGACCTGCAGAGAAGCAGCAGCACACACACGCCTCCGTCGCTGGTTTGGGTGTCACTAACCGTTGCATTGTGAAGGGTTGTCTTTAAATCTAAAAAAAAATTTGCGTCAAAATCCGCCCAAGGCATTCTGGGAAATGCAGTTTTGTTTGCAAACAACATGGGAAGACTAACCATTTCTGCAATGCTTTTCGAATAACCTTAACGGCATAGTTGAATTGAATTGACATTTATTTATTTTTAATAGGGGACAATGCAATTTAACATATTTTCAATACACAGCATGAAACTGATGTGCTGCATAAAGAATATACAGCTATTGCTAATTTCCAACTCGTGTCCCCCAGTTGGGCCTTTGTGTAAACAAACAGATTAAAATGTGCAACATTCAGTAACAAAAAATATGAGGATACATTAAAATACATGTACAACAATGCAAATGCTATAAACCAGTTTAAAATAAAGTTTTAAAGATTAAAGATACTATTTAAAAGTGGTACAGCTCTGGCTTGCTTTCAGCATTTCACCTGTTTTGTAAAAGATTTTAAAGTCCAAGATTAATTTTATTTCGGGTGTTTAATGTGTTGGAGATGGAGAAGGCTGATTGACCAAACGTAGATCTACCATGTTGTATGCTACAGTCTCCATTCACAGTGCTTCTCGTTACCCTGTTTCCGTCCTGTCTTTGAACGCATCTGGAGAGAGGTTCAGGGGCCAGATTGTTGATACATTTAAAAACAAGTTTGAGGAAACATAAATGCATAAAGCTCTCAAAACTCAGTAGATTGTGTTTTTTTTCAGTATGTGACAGCGATGCCACCGGACAGGTTTTTTGTCCATTATTTTCAGGGCCTGGTTGTATAGTGATGAGAGGTTTCTGATAATGATAACAATATTAATAAAACTCATTCAAACAACTTGTTGTATAGGATACATAATTTAAAAAAAACACTATTCTGTGAACACTATTTGCGAAAAATCTGTTAAATTGATGGAAAACAGGTGTGATCAAGCTAAGCAGCACAAAAACTAATCTAACACTTGACACCATTAGGCTTTTTTGTTAGGCTACCTTTCATGTTTTTTAACCTAAAATAAAAATGTTTAATGTGAAGTAATTGTTTTTCTAACTCTCTGTTTTTGATTGCAAAATAAAATACTTTAACTATAATTTGGGAAGCCTGAATTATTTTCTCAATGGGCTCCAAATGGGTTATAAAACTTTTGCATTCTGTAATAAGAGTGAGGCTCTATATGGGCTAACGGGGCTAAAAGTGCAATAGAAAGGGGTAGGCCTAATTCAAATGTATGCCTATGTTTGAATATAATACAGTGGATTAGGGTACCACCAGCTGGTGGAAGTCATTACAGGTTTTGAGACAAGCATCAGTGGTTAATCACCTGCTGGCAACGCCTCAGTGTTTTCAATCTCCTTACAACCGACTGCAGATACTTACAGAGACAGACACCTGCATGTTATCACCTGAGACTGCTACGTGTCTAAAGGAGATGACATTTGAAGCCCTCACCTGCAGGGGAGGGAGAGAGTTTAGAGGTCGGAGAGGAGAAGGGGTAGCTAGTTTTCTCTTAGAAACTATACTTTATGTGTCCCTGATGGCGTTCGACTATATCCTGCCTGGCTTGGATGACGGCCCTGCTCTCCCTGCAGGGCAAGTTGACAACAGGTCAGTTATTTTCTGTCATCAAACTTTTTCTCTCATTTCTCTCAGTCTAGTGCTGTTTTCTTTGTGTTATCCTGAGGCTGTATTTCACAAAGACACAGAAATCCATGCTATATGTTATTTCTGGAAATTCTCTCCTCGTCTTCAACTGAAATGTTTGTAGGATGTAAACTTTTTAGTACTTGTTTACAGGGATTGAGTAGAAACATGTCTTGAGTTTTTTAAAGCTGGTTATGAAACAGACTGAAATTAACATTGATGCCGCTTTTTGACCTTCATAAACAAACAAAACCATCAGAAATGATCCACAACGTATATGTCATAAGTGAGAAATGAGTTACAGCACACTGCAGAAACAGCTTCAATTTTCCAAAGCAAATGTTCACACTGAGTGATACTTGACTGTTTAAAAGAAAGCAGGATGATCTATTTTCCCCCTTCAAGAATAATTGTATTAATATTTCTTAGCAAATGTTCTAATTTTCGACATGTACAGCAGACTACAGGGTTTAAAGAAAATACATCCAGACCCCATTTCCACTTCACACACATGTTTTGGGGAGCTGACTGCAAAACAAGTTACTTTTGGGGTCAAATGGCCCCCCTATTTTCTTACTTCTTACATTTTTTTCTCACAAAAAACACACAAAAGAGGGGATTTACTGTTTGAAACAGGGAACAATGAATACAATGTGTTTCTTTGTTTTGTTAATACGTAATTGTGAGTTTTAAGTTTGACATTTTTTTGTTATAATTGCTTAAATTAAGGACAACCATGTTATGCCTAACCCTGACGGGCCCTCCATGAGCCTTGGCCTTGGGTGTCCTTGGTCATCTGTGCATTATTGACGAGAGTATTTTCCTTTTTTGATTTGATTTATTGCATTGCAAAAAATTACTTATGCAAAACACAATAAATAGATTGTATAGCTGTATATGGTTACAGTACTCATGTGAGCACTAAAGAGGGGCCTGTGATGAATCAATAAATTAAAAGGGCCGTGTCTCGAACAACATAATTGAAAAAACAGACTAAAGATTGTACAAGTATTTTTAAAAGTGTCTCCCCCTGCAATTTCTTCATCGTCCGCAAGATGTCAGTGTTCCCCTTAAAATGAGCTGCTCTCAGCTCTGCAGCATACCCGGGCCATATGAATATGGTTGAACTCACATATTTTATTTGGGCTTCATAGAAATTCAAAAAAGTGTGAAAAACATGAAAATCTCAATCTTAAAATCGACTGAATCCTAACAACACAATGTCATCGGTAGCATAATTGTTGTGGGGTTAATATTTTGAATAATTGCAGAGATGGATTGTTAATCATCTTTACAGCAGGTGATTTGCGCAGATAATACAAACCTGTAGCCTGTAGCTCTACACAGGACAGGATATCACTGAAGTCTTCAGGTGGTGTTTCACTGGTGTTTCGTCCAATTACTCCCCCATTCCAGCTCTTACTGCCCACCAGACCCACATGCAAAACTTCTACATCTTCCCTTCTTTACCACATCGTCACTGATACTTCCTACCCTACCCCATAGCCCCTCATGGCCCACACAACTAAAATGCAACTACTTCTGGAGCCAGTATTACACATGAAGTATTACACATGATGCATATATAAGATTATATAATGTTTACAAATGTAATGTTTTAAAATATGCAGGGCACTCCGTAGATTCCCTGTTATTTTCTTTTGGGGCTTGTTAGGCATATCTGCTGAGTTTGTGGAGCCAGCTCATTTGAATGCAATATAGTGTGTAGCCCCCCTTGTGATCTGGCACGAGGCCAGGCAGACAACTGATTTACATAAAACTTTAATTTCCATAAACTTATCAGATGCTTCCAGCAGAAAAATTAATTGCATTTCCTGGTGTTGTTTTGTTTCTTGGTGTGGAAAAACGTGTGTCCTGATGCTGCTTGTACTGAAACAATACAAAGTCAGCTTGGACTTTTTGCTGGCATGACTTATCCAGAAGCTTATTTACTGGATAACTCAACTGCAGCAAATCTGCTTTTAAGACACAACTTGTCCAGATAAAAACTGAACCCTTCTCGTCTGATATTATGTATTTGCTCTTCAAACCTGCTTTTCTTAAAATTAGATTCGATTTAAGACTGAAACATCTTGCTGACATTCACAGGCTTGCTTAGTGAATTGTATATTTGTATGCTGCAATAATGCATTAAAATCTGTTTTCCTAATCGTCTGAATGTAACCCAACACAACCCTAATGAACGAGAGGCAGTAAAGCTGACCTAGACAACCAAGAGTGAAGGTGTTTACAGTGGCGCTATTAGTGTCTTTGTGTTAATACAAATATGTACAAACTGTTTTGCAAACAGGTCTTAACAAAACCAGGCAGGATACAATGAAAGGGCAGAGTTTATTAAACAGTCTCAGGTGGGTGAACAGGTAATCCAGAAACAGAGAAGCAAACAAATCCAAGAGGGGCAGGCAAAAGGCAAAAGTCACACACGAGAAAGCTCACGCGAAAAGACCGCTGGAGCGAGGCGACAAGAGGGAACACACACCAAACTGGCAACAACATGCAGGAGGATACAGAGGGATTATATCCACAGACAATCAGGGTATAATGAGACAGAGGTGAGCACAATCAGGGCGGGGAAGGACAAGGCGGGAAAACGTGGGGAGCAGGATCTGAAAGACAGAAACAAGGTAAGGGTAAGTAAAAGATAAAAAACAGCAAATAAAAATTAGAGAAGCAGCAGTGATTGGTACGGTAATTGCTAAGCATTGATAACAAAGGTAGAAAAACACACCAGAGTCTGTGTTGTTCCTCAAAAACTGTCCTGTGTGGCAAGATGCTGCATATTACAGTAGCAGCATGCATGTTGCACAACTAATTGCCATAGGCGAAGGAATTTAGGGTTCTATTGTCATGTTTGTTAAATCATGTGGATTATATATCTAACTAAATAAAAAGTGAAAGGTGTGGTGTGAGTGATCTTAATGAAAAACAAATGATTTCTATCTAGACTCATCATTTGCACTTCCCTCTAATACAGTCATCCATCATGAAAATCTCAGGAAAGGAGATATTATTCATTTGTCCTCCAGCATTAGCGACAATCAAAAATCTTATTTCTCTCATTATTTAGAGTAACTGAGCCCTGCAGATATCAAAACTAATCAGTCATTGTGAATGGTCTCCAGGTTAACGGGCTAGCAGGAATCTTCACCCACCCTGCCATTTATGTAACGAGTTCTGAGTAATGGGAGCAGTGATTAGCGTCCACCTCTGCTGCTCGTTGTGGGATTTGACTGGTTGTTTTTTTTAGAATTGCATGTCTGAGTGAATGTGTGGGACGACATAAAGAAAAAATAATCTAACTGGTTCCTGTCAAATCAATTTAGTAAA